TTTCAAACCTGGAAGAAGTTCGTCCTACAAGTGGGTTGTGGAGAATTTTGCTTCTAGGTTGTTGTCAGACTTTGGTATTTTGATGTGAACAGGGTTGGACGGGCGTGTTGGAAGGTCACTGAATGTTTAGTTTGATGGGATGGACACAGGGAAAAAGGAAAGTGAAAGTAGAGAAAGCGAGCCTGAGAAGAGCTGTAGCATAGTGAGCGAACGTGTACTCCCAGCAGCCTGCTCTCATGAACTTAAAATCCATTTGGGTTCACTGTGTTTTTTCATTCAAAAAAAAAAAAAAGTGCACTGAGATGCTTTGAAATCAAACGTGTTAAACAGGTGATTGATGTCCATTTTATAAAGTAAGAGGAGTCTGCAAGTCGTGTGCAAGGAAAGTAAAGTGACACAGCGAGTTTCTGATCACACTGCATCACAAGAGTAAGCTAGAATGGAAACGAGCAAAAGCAACAAAGACTTTCTGTTTCACTGTGGTCAACATGTACGAGCCAAATGGCATGTTGACCTGCACTCACAGAGCTGCGGTTACTTGTGTAGCCGCTCAGATTGTGTAGTGATGCGGCTTCATGAGTTTCCTGGCTGGTTGCTGTTTGTCAATGATGTGTATTAAAGAGGATATAAGGCATTTTGTTTATAAATGATTTGTGTTTTTCAAAAGAGGGGCACAAGATTGTTCTCTTGTTGAAAGGATAGATCTAAAAGCGTTTTTTATTTTTGTTGGGTTTTATATAAATGTATATTAGGGTCAAAAGCAGAAAAAAAAACAGAAAAATGAAGGAGAAGAAAAATAAAAATTACAGACTTCTTAGTTGTATATTAATATCACATTGTTTGGAAAGCACATCTCATTTGATAAAGGCTCACCATGTTTGTAAGCAAAAAATAACCACGTAACTTAAATGTGTGTCAAATATTGTCGAGTTACGCCGACGATCACCTATTTATATTTTGTATTTGTCAAAAAAAAAAAGGTTACAGGAGAAAAAGTTTATGTGCAGTGTTCTTTATAAAGGCGATGGATCCTTGTTCGTCTGACATTTCAAGACACTCTGGAAAGGTCAGAGGTCAGACGGAGGTGACGGGATACACAAGAGATAGCAGTGTTAATAAAAGTCCCTTCATTTTTCTTCCCCCCCTGTGCATTTAAGCCACCGACCCTGAACCCTCCTTCACCGGTGCATCTTAAAGAGAAATATTCAGTCGTGAGCATGAAGAAAATCTGTACAGATGTTTATATTCTATTCTTTCCAAGTGCCAGTTTTTTTGTGGTGTCATTTGGATATTAACTAATTCATTCATGTGCGGGAAGAGAGTACAGGTGGATGATTGGATGCGGGTTTTCGAGGCAAAATGGAAGTGTTGCATCACACTGTATAAATTAAAACATCGAGTTTGGTCATATAGTATATATTTTTACAGCGGTATCGGGTGGGCGGTTGAGATGCAGAGAGCCAGAGGGTTTGCAGAATCATGTTGCCATTTAAGAGAATCCAATCCGAGGTGGTGTCACTCACGCGTCATCAAGGCGAACGGCATGTGCCTGCGTTGAAGTCTGATTTTTCTTTGTGACGTATGTGACTTTATAAAGCTTGCATATTTTACACAGTGTTTACAAAGATGTACGTTGTGGTAAAAATCAATGAACTACAAAAAAAAAAAAAACAACTTACTGTATAAATTTTAATTTCAGAGGCTAAAAACGTTATAATACCCAGCATCCCTTTTGTGTGTCCTCAGAAGTGTGTGCTTTCATTGGACAAAGACCCATATGACTGTCTATTCCTAACTGCACTACGCAGTACCACAACCAAAGGATTCTGGAGGAGTATTTACACGAATTCATTATGAAAAACAAAAAGAGGTTTTTGGTTTTGTGGATGTGCAGCCCGTTGTGCATTTCCGAAATAAAGAGCCAAGCAACTGTGCTGTAAAATAAACGGACATGGACACACATCAGATCAAACAAACCTACCTGTGTAGATATATCTGAATCAAGACCGTCAAAATAAAGTAACTGTACTACTCAGTAGCAGATGTGTTTGTACCTATCATGTGCCTTAACCTTTTCCATGGTAGATAAAGATAAGTGTGTTTTATATAACTTTATTCCTCCCCTTCGACTGTCATCCCTCCATTCCGTCTGTTCACCTCCTCTCCCAGTGTCAGCCTCCCTCCCTTTTTACCTCCAATCAACTCATCACATCATCCATCCTGCACCCCCTCCTCCCCACCCCACCGTCCCCCCTCCTCTCCCGAGTAGTTTAGACTGTTGGTGGGTTTCTGCCTTGTATTACATTGTATTATAAACTTTTAAAAAGATAGAGTCATTCGGAAAAAATGGTTTTGATTTCCTAGAGGAGTAAAGTTGTTAATGCTTTCGTAGCGAGCAGAAGCGATGCCACAGTGACAGAATGTATTATGTTAATTTTACTAATACCCAGAGGCAAATATTACGCTTGTTAAACATAACGGAAAAATACTGGTTTGTAGAGTATAAATTTGGTGTGTTTTCAATAAATCATGCCTGGAAAGAAGGTGTCGCTCGACTCTGTGTCTTATTTTATGTTGTGTGATTAATTATTTGGGAAGATGGAAGGTCTAAAGTTATGACAGCAGCCCTTAGAGGCAATAACAAATATTACAACCTGCTCCAGATTTTGAAAGTGTCATTTCACTTAAATTAAAATAAAAAATATTTTACACATTTGGTGCTCATCGTGAGCAGTTTACAATTTGACTAGCTTTAACTGAGAACATGTGCTGTTTGAAAATATCAGCTGTTGACTATTATATTGTATAATATTACATCAGCAGATCACTGGAGGTAAGTGAGAAATGTTGTTTTTTTTCTGTTTTTCAATCGTGTTATGCATATTGATGTGAGTTTTACCCGTGATATTCGACATCTGGATGAAACAATACAGTACAGCTCCACTGTAAAGATCTTTTCAAAGCCCATAGTGTATGTAGTCTGGGCTTCTTGTACTTACAGTGCAGCCTTACACATATTCTCATCCTTTCTCACATTTTCACAGTTTAATGTGTGTGGTCAGGAGTGTGTAGTCACCTTGTCCTCCCTCCTGCAGGACTCATCTGCAGAACCTGCATATTTACAGTGTAAGGATCTCAGAAGTGAGCTTGTTCTATTTTTAGTCATTAAAGAAAAAGGTGTAAGACTGATCAGACTACTTCACTTATGGGCCAATTCTACACTATGTTCATGTGATCTAACAAGTTACGATTCAGTTTATATATTACACAGATGAGTGTTTGTTAGCTTCTGTGGGTGTAAAATTAGTTTAAAGCCAATTGTTACATGAGTTATCAATAATTGATGGTGTCTACCTGTGTGAGACGATGTTCTTTGAAAAGATGTATCAAAACTAGAGACAAAAGTTGAACTAAAAACACTGACAATGACTTAGTTTGGTCGTATCAATTGTCATGTCAGTAGATAACGTGCACTATACCCAGGGTCCTGACACTAGTAGCCATCATTAATGTCATTAATGACACCTGCACTTACATGTTGTCATGAGTCATGTTTATCCTGTAAGCAGAAATTCGTGGAATTCTGAAATGTTGTAGTCTCATTGATCTGTACATGTGGTCTTCAAAGTTACAAACTTTGCTCTGATAGAATAATACAAACCACTTACGTGATGGTGTCAGATATGGTCAAATAATGTCCATGTTTCTGTCTACTTCAATATTCTACTGACCATAAATCTTTAATTTTTCAACCTAGGAAGCTGATGCATATCGGTGAACCTGCAAAGCTTTGGGACTACACTATTTCTCATATTACTTACATATAGTACTTCAAACATTGCTCCACAGATTGGCGCAAAGAAAACAATATAAAAATCAACATGACCCACATGGTTCACTCAATCAATAATCAACACTTTTGTGTTGATTGTTGTCAAATTGAAGATGGTCAGACGTGGGGCATTCTGTGAATTCAGGCAGAATAACTGGTGTATAATCAGGATTATTACAAGATTATTCTACTATATATACTATATAGTACTTTATTTTATTTAGTTTGTCATATATTACAGATAGTTGTTTGAATCCATCCATCCATCCATTATCCATACACCACTTAATCCTCACTAGGGTCGTGGGGGGGCTGGAGCCTATCCCAGCTGACTTAGGGCGAAGGCAGGGAACACCCTGGACAGGTCACCAGTCTATCACAGGGCTACACATAGAGACAGACAACCAAGCACACTCACATTCACACCTACGGACAATTTAGAATCACCAATTAACCTCAACATGTTTTTGGACGTTGTGGGAGAACCCGGTGAGAACCCACGCTGCACAGGGAGAACATGCAAACTCCACGCAGAAAGATTCTGGTGCCCCCACCGGGACGCGAACCTGCAACCTTCTTGCTGCGAGGCAACAGTGCTACCAACTGCTCCACCCTGCAGCCTGTTGTTTGAATCATGACACTATAAGGACTTAGCTCAGACCAGCAGTGTTTACATTTTAACCTGATAATTCCATCTTTGTCGAGTCATTCAAAGTAAAAACAATATAAAATTGTGAGACACTGTGCTTTAGGAAAAGTGAGCTCACCCCATTCTTTCTGGGCTTAACCCAGGTTCAGCTTTAATATCACAGTGAACGCAGGTGGCCGTATAAGTGATTCTCAAACTGTGTCTTGGAATTCATCTTAGTTATGATGAGGTACAGCTAAAATCATGTGGAAATACTTTTTATTTTAATTAATGCATTTTATTCAACATAAGTTGGGGTCTGACCATTTAAATTGCCCAGAATCAACTAAATAATTTTATTTTTTGTGTTTTTAAATCTATAATCTTTTTGTTAATTCATTTTTGTCTTCAAAAAACATTTTCAATCAATAATTAATAACGACGCCACTGGTCGATAAATGGCAATTTAATTTCGCGTATTTTTTTTCAGGCACCTTGCGGGCACCGTAGTTCCGTCCTGGGTCCTTTCATAATAACAACATGGCGGCCCTCTGTAGAGGCAGACACCGGTGGAAAAGGACTAATTGTTTTAGTGTTCTTTCAAGAAACCTGACAGGTAGTATTGAATTAATAAAATGTATTTGTGTAGAGTTAGAAAGCTAAATTCAGTGAAGTTAGCAATTGGAAATGTTTCTGTTCGTTAATTACGCCTCAAACGCTGCAGGAGCTGAGAGGAGCTTCTGTTTATCTGGTCAGCTGCTGGTACTTCCTCTGACTCTGTGTCCTCTTCACTCCAATTAGTCAACTAAACACGAAAACACATTTTTCTCCGCCCCTGGTCACATTATAGTTGCGTTAGTTCTGTCAGTCCAGACAACCACCGAACTGGTTACCGTCAAACAGCTGCTCAACAGCTGGACATGCAGACTTGTTAATGTGTTTCCTGTTCATTACTTGGCAATAGATAGAACTTTGTAAAGTTGTGCTGATAAACAACGATGCTGTTTGGTGAAAACGTCTACCTAAAACAAACTCCACCAAGTTTGCTGCAGCCTGAAGAAGTGACAGCTTTTATTCTTCTCAAATTTAATGTCAGCTACAGCCTTCTGTGTTTAGGGGGATAATATGGCAAAAATAACAAGATAACGTATTCCTAAAGTTTAAATAAGTTAGCTTAAATTAAGTACAGTGTGTTGTAAGATAAAGCAAAGAGTGCTTCCTAAACTCTCTTCATAACATGTTACTGTGTTATTTTATACTTAAATAAGCCCAAATTAACTAGCAAACTGTTGGCTGAGTTGTGGAGTTTGGTGTCTGTTCTCTTCTCCCCAGATTGTAGAGCTCACTAAATGCTGATTATACCAAATGCTGTAAGAGGAAGACAATCATTCTTTATACTTTAGGTACATGTAACAATAACAGATCCATAACGGTACTATAAAAATTAATTTCAATGTGTCTAGTATTCATTAGGGTTAAAAGATTTGAGGGGAAATATATGTTTTTTTCAAAATCTTTTTAATGCTTCAGTTCAATATTTATTGTGTAATTAGGCACCACCAAAACAATCACTGCTCTATATTCTAATGCAAAGGTATAAATTACTTCAAACTTGTATTCATTACATTTTTTTTATGGCATAGGTAATAGAACGGTTTTTGCCACAGCCCAGACTGTGTTAAGTTAAATGAATAAAACAATCATAATAGTCAAGACAATAGATTTAATAACCCCAATGAGGCAATATTATAGAAAACATCTGAAAAGGTCATTATAACAGGACCTTACTCTGAACGGTCACTGAAACTGAAACATCTTTTGCACATTCTGCAATCAAGAAAGATAAAGTAATATTAAAAAAAAAAAGAAAGAAAATAAAAGAAATTAATGTATGTCCTAAGTTGCACCTGTTGCGGTATGCTAATTGCATCACATCAAACTGAGATTTTAATTTGAAATTGATTAATTATTAATCCCCAGTATTCATTATTCAATATTCTCATACAGGGAAGTATGACTATGACCTGGTGGTCATCGGTGGTGGATCAGGAGGCCTTGCCTGTTCCAAAGAAGGTGAGATCTTTTACCTGTTATTTCTTCTTGTTTGGATGACTTATGCTAATGCTTACTCATTTTTATTTAGTAACACACTAACTATATATACACCTGTTTTACAGCCGCACAGTTGGGACAGAAAGTTGCCGTTTTAGATTATGTGGAGCCATCTGCGAAAGGTAAAATACATTTTGAAGAACATGCTTCAACTGTTGTTTCCACCGGACAAAATTCAACAGTAAAATTTTTGAGTATATTTGAAAAATGCTTTTCCAAACAGGCACCAAGTGGGGTCTTGGTGGTACGTGTGTCAATGTTGGCTGCATTCCGAAGAAGCTCATGCATCAGGCTGCTCTACTTGGCACTGCAGTTAAAGATGCTAAGAAGTACGGCTGGCAGATCTCAGGAACAGTCTGCCATGACTGGTAGGTCTAACCCAGGCTTAACTACTGTATGGCAGCGTTTCCTTATTTGAAGACAGGCGTAATCCCCACGGTTAAACGCTAGAAGTACAGAAAATTTGTAGCTCAACACCGCCATCTAGTGATGAAATTGCAGTAAGACATTCTCATTGATGGAGGTGAGAAAATTCACTCTTGGTGAGTTTAATGTGATTCCAATCTTCTGCAGGGACATGGACTGTTTTACTTGTCTTTTCTTCCAGCCTAGTTTATAGTATTTAGGCTTTAATGGTCATTTGTAAAGTGTAGTTTGCCAGTTTTGGCCCACGTTTTTAAAAAGACAAATCTTTAAACAAACATTACTTTTTTTCTTTTAGGTTTTAGACCCAGGAAGTCAGTGTTTGTGCTTCTTTTATTTTCCTGCCTGCATAGTGTTTATGAAAAGTGTATGTTTACAGTATTACCTCTGGTGTGTTTTCTAGGCCCACCATGGCAGAGGCTGTTCAGAACCACGTCAGGTCTCTGAACTGGGGTCACAGAGTTCAGCTCCAGGACAAGTAAGTGACAGCAGATTTTCTTACGTCATCATTGATGTCAGTGATGATATTTCATTCAGGTAATTTTATTTAGGCACACTAATGTGGGAGGTAAAAAGTGAAGAACCCCTCCCATTTAATGTGAGGGTTGGTTCAGTAAAATGTTTAAGTAATTGTACATTTTTGAAAAAAAATGGTCAAAAAAAATGTGTACACTTTTAGACTGTGTACAATGATTGCTGTGTACAGCAGATATAACGTGTGTCCCCCCCACTTACCATTTAGCTCTTCATCCATTCCTGTTGTATTTTTTTCTATTATTTTTCATTATATGCTTGCAAAGAAGCAGAGTTTCCATAAGACAGTCATAAATATTTATATTCCAGCCTGTTTTACTTCCATTTTTTCTATTTTCATGGCATGATATTGCTGAAGGCAGTACATTTCTGTTCCACACAGCTGAAGGATTGATTGTCAACGACCACATGTTGATAGAGTGACTGGCTGGAGGGCAAACAGGTGTTAACCTCTGTGAAAATGTGCCCAAGCCTAAATGTTTTCAATTCAATGAGGTCATTTCCTTGGACTCAGAATGTTAGTAATGCTTTGTAGTGATTTTTTATTAACAAGTAGCCAAATGAGCCTGTGCCTTCACAACAGCAGGGAGGCATTGTTAACCACAGAGCAAGCCAGCCAGTTGTTACACCAATTCTATTCATTACAAAGGCAGTACTAAGTGAGAGGAGATGTTAAATAAACATTCAGTATTAATTTAATTAGATTTTTCTGCAAACAATAAAGTTATGTTGGTATGAGCAATATTTATCAGCTCAGCACATGAGTCTGACTTTAGAATTTGTTATCCTCTTACTGACTGAGAATGTTTTATGCTCCAGTGCTATTAAATTACAATCTATTCATGCAACAGTACAGCTCGCTTTGTGCTGAGTTTAAAAACATTTAAAGGTGGAGTCTAGAGACAGTTAACATTTGGCTAGTTGACGTATTTAGATGGTTAACATGTGACAGATGTACCTTCCACTGTCCCCTCCACATTTCCCCTCCTCTCTCCCGTATCCTGTGCATGAGCTTGAATGTGCACAGGACGCAATGGAACAGTGTTGTGTAGATCACTCTAAACCCCTTGTTTGTTTCTCATTTACGGAGACAGAGCTGTGTATCAGCACTAAACGTTTTAATTTTTTTAAACATAGAATTAGCAGTGGACTGTGAGGAGATAATAGCAGAAAAAAGTGTATTGGATCACAATCACTGACTCTACCTTTAAAACAAAGTCAAAGTCAGTTTCATATAAGGACCAAGGTTGAATTTAATGACACAGTCCAAAGGAACTGCTGAAATCGCTCCTGCAACAGATACGTAGTATTTGTAAAACTAATCCACAAAGAGATATAGCTCAACTGTGATCTGCATCCTCTATCCTCCTGCTGGGAAAAGAAGAAGACAGAATGATGAAACATGCAGAGAGTATCTAGTAACAGATCACATGATATCAGGCTAGTATGCAGCTCTGTCACAGCCTCGTTTCAGTGTATTTCACCAGATTAGTAGACAACATGTTGTGTCATTACTGTTTGTAATCTGCATTAGCAACCTGTTTGTTTTCTGTTGTGCAGGAAGGTGAAATATCTGAACATCAAAGGAAGTCTGTTGGATGAACACACTGTTAAAGGGCTAACTAAAGCAGGGAAAGAGGTGGGCTTCTAATTCACACTACTAAAATGCTTTTAGTCAAAAGTGTACTTTGTGAGACATGTTTTATATTCTTTGTTTACTATAGCCAATTTGGACATATTTATATTTAGAATTTTTTTTTTTTTTTGTACCTCCAGGTGATGTTTTTGTGTCACTTTTTTCTTCTCTCATTAGTATATTTTAAAATCTGCATTTAAGTAAGTTAACTAAGTAATTGTTACAGTGAAGAGCAAAAATGGTGAAATGCTAAAACACCTTCTAAGAGAGCTGTTACTTGTTTCAGGGATTCCAAAGAGTTTCCATCATCATCTTAATGCAGAATGCTGTGGAGACCACTTGTTTTTATATGACATTTCCTTGTTTTTTGAAGGATATGAACAAAAGCTGTTACTTCACACGTCCCTCCCTTCTCTTACAGACGATCCTGACTGCCAAGAACATTGTGATCGCCACAGGTGGACGACCCAAGTACCCTACACACGTAAAAACCAGCATTATCATTCCATTGACATGTTTCTCTCTTGTGTGTGTTACTTGATTGGTTGGTTGGTTACCTTGTAGACACTGAAGCCCCTGAAGTGAGGTAGAATACAGTTTGGAAGCATTACATTACACGCACAAGCCTTAAAAATAGCAGGTTTTTACAAAGAAAACTGCATTCTGTTTAACATTATTGATAGATCTGTCGACTGATAGGTTCATAGCTTTGACTGTTATTACAGATCCCTGGAGCGATGGAGCATGGCATCACTAGCGACGACATATTCTGGTTAAAAAAGTCTCCTGGAAAAACGTAAGGATGCCTTCTTTTGTAAAACATCGTCCCACACACCTACATAGAAATTTAAATTATTATATTAAGTAGTTTTAATCCAGTCAGTACCCCCGAGTCTAATTTTAATGTCACAGTTAAAAAATGTGGCTGCAGCTTCGGTCCCAAAATAATAATTTCACCCTTGAATGTAGGATTGTTGGCATCATCCTCTGTACAGCGTGCTTTAAGGGAAACAGACCCTCCAACCTCTGCGGTATTATTGCCCCACTCTACCCACTACACTAACTTGCTCGCTGACACGGCACATCCCGCTGTCACGCACTGTAATCATTCATCAGTGACATGCAGTTTGTTTTTCTCCCTTCCTGTCAGCCTGTCCTCACCTCATGATTCAGATTAGCGGCGTGCATCCTGACCTTTACAGAACAAGCCCTTTAATCCAGCCATTTAGCTTCTGTCATCACCTGGTTAATTGGTCCTTCCCTGATGTTTCCTCTTGGCACATTGTGCAGATGGTGACTAGTGGTTGTGGTGTACCTGGGCTGCGGAGGTTGTTTGCTTCACGGTGATAGATAAGAGGAAATAATTATTCTGATATTTAAGCTGCATACGAATCCAAGTTGTCTGCACCTGGAATATGGGATTAATAACGGTTTTTAAATACGTATGCTATTTTTTTTAATGTAGATTTTGATTGTTTTGGCTGATAATTAGTTCTTGCGTATTTTGGGGAATGGATATACTGTAACTTGTTGGCTTGTCTTGTCCAGAACCAACAATTAAAACATTTATTTTGGTTATAAAGTGAGTGTTGTGTATTGTAGTATATCTGGTATTCAGCATTTTGACCACTTGGTGGCAATGCAAAGTCATTAATCAACAAATAAAGTAGTGCACCACAAGCATTCTTAAACTATCACCTGTAGTGTTCACCCGTTCTACATAACACGTTTTGTATATGAAGCTAAACTATCCCCTCTGAGAGATCACTTGAGCTCAGGAAGTCCTTTGATGTAAGAGTGTGATGGTTGGTGGAGTCCTCAACATCGCCACAGGCAGACAGACGTTAGCTGTGGGTTAGCATTAGCTTCTTCAATGAGGGAACGTAACCACACTCTGTAGCCTGAGCCGGAGATGTTGTGCCGTCGAGTCGTCAGCTGTGCAGGTGATGGTCCAAGAGGCTGTTTCCACAGGCCGGGCGGGTGTGGGAGGGGGGGGCACAGGAGAGTGATGGGTGTTTAATGGACCTTGGAGCGCACACACACCTAAATGACAGATTTGGCCTCGAGGCCAGAGTCCAGAGCTGGCTGCCATCATCATCATGATATCAGGGGAAAACAATGAGCACGTGCCAGCAGGGCTCTGATACTGGTCATAGGATAGACCAGTACATTGAGACAACTGGATACGTACAGTTAAGCCCACAGTTATTCACACACGTGTCATATTTGGATCCATAGTGAATTTTTATTTGAGCATTTCTTCTGGCTGGTAATGACAAGTGAGAAAAACAATAAGATATTTTGTTAGACATGTTGGTGACCAAATTGAACCATTTCTATGTCATTTACAGCCAGAAGAAAGTTACTTGTTAAATAAAAATTCACTCAAAATTCGAATTCGGCATGACTATGAATGATTTTAAACTTAACTGTAGGTTTAGGTTAGGTTGAGGATCTAACTCTGTGATGTGTTGTACCGTGGATAAAGACCACACTACACATTACATCAGCATCACTTCCCTGCTGTCCAGGGTATCAAAGCACTTACAAGATCCCCATTGAAAAATAAGAAACTCCAAAATGGAAAGAGAGAGAAGAACATGATCGCAGAACGCTGTGGAGACCGCTTGCTTTCATTTACAAAAACAATAGTAACACAAGTTATAAAGATATGTGAGGTGGACCGACATCAAACCTTTGCAACAGTATCAACCCATGTGCTGGACAGAAACAAAAAACTGTTTGAATCTAGTGCTTATCAGTGCGTCGGCTTTTGAAGAACTGCCCAAGGTCAACAGGCAGCTACAGACAGTCTGCTGTCAAGGGCCAAGTCTCAAGAGTTTTATTAAGTTTCTGTTGGTTGGGTGGCTCTCTGTCCAGTTTCTAACTTCAAATGGGAGTCTAGTGTCCTATGAGACATTACACATATGGACCAGACAACCTGGCTTTTTCTCGTTTTCATCTTTAATCAACACATTTATAGTTTTGACTCTTTTATGCCTGTGAACTTTTGGCAACTGTCTCTGTGACACTGATTTTGTAAACGCAGATGAAAGGGACATTACTCAGGGGTCGAAAGATAGATTTTATTTTCTGAGTCAATGCTGATTATTAATAATAATCAAGGAGACTTATAACCAATATACATTTGTGCTTAAAATGAAAATCTTTACATCAAAATTTAGAATTACACAAATTCCAACACAAACCGAGATGTTTTTGTTTATGTTTATGTTTTATTTATGTTATGACCTTTCCAGCAGTTAATACGCTGTTAGTCGCAGTGTGTAACCAATGTGATCGAGCTGTGGGCAGAATAGAGTGGGGACTACAGGCAGAGGCAGCTGCATCACAGCAAAGTGGCACGTTTTTCAATCAATTTATTAGATCAGGATTTGGTTGTTGCCCGATAATGGGTAACAAGCTGAATATCAGATGATCATATCGCTATATGTATGTGTATTACATCGTTACCCTAATTTTGCTTGATTCATAGCCTGACATGTCAGCATTGTTGTAGTGATTCGAATCAGCATCATCTTTTGGCTAAAAAATGTGTTGTGTCTCAACAGACTTTAGACAATTGTAAAATAAAGTCATAAACAATGGAGATGTAGAAGGTTTAGGGGGAAGGAGACAGTTTCTCAGTGATGAAAGTGTAGAATCAAGCTAAAGCTCTTTGCCTAATCTTCTTTAAGCCACTTCACAATATGTGCTAAGTGCTGCTGTGCATTACACAGACGAGGGGAAAATGGCTATTGGGGCTTTGAGTGGTTTGTGTTAGCATGGACAAGGGCAGAATGTGCTGCAGGCTGCCAGAGCTGTCAGATGGAGCAGACCTAAAGGGAAGAGCGTCTGGTTTGGAGCGGTAAAAAACGAGGGAGAATAGGGCCTCATCCATGTGGGTGACGGGCTTCACTCAGCGTGCTGATGTGTGGACTTGAGCCCTGAACATGGCACACCCCATCCGCAGGGATTAGCCTAAATGCTAGCAATTAGCCCTCCTCAACGCTACAGATTTCATGGCTGGATTACAAGTGTGATTCCCCTGGACCACACACACACACACACGTATATATACACATAGTTTTTACTGTCCCTGTTTTCTACATTTTCTTCGCACTTCTTCACTTCTTAGGTTATGAAGTTTTGTAAGTCATCACCTCTCTAATTCTAGGATTTAAAGTAAACATTTTCAGCTTTTAGCTTTGGATTGTCTTTGTTTTATTTGGCCACAGTGTGCTGCACAAATGACGAAATGTATCTTATTTTATTGTTAGTTCTGCTAAGAGCTCCTCTGTAATTTGTGTTTTGCAGACTTGTGGTTGGAGCTAGCTGTATCCTTTGTCTGCCAGAGCGCTTGTAAATGAAGCCACAGGTAATCAATTGACAAAGTGTAAAGTAATTCACTTAATAAAAAAAGTAACATTGGCATCAGACCCAATTTCAAGTAGTGTTTCTGAATAATTCTTTACTCTTTTTTTAAACTGAGAGTGCTGTATCTGCAGCACCATATATACACCGTGATAAGACAAACATAATGATTTTCCAAACCTGATTTAGTTGTTATCTTACTTTACCTGAGTTCACCTTCTTTTTAAGCTACACAACTCCACACATCAGGTGCTACTGTGCATATAAATCAAGAAAAGAACTGTAATCCTCAGCCTAGTATTACTCAGATGTGGCTCTGGAGTGTGCAGGCTTCCTCACAGGCATTGGCTTGGACACCACAGTGATGGTCCGCAGCATCGCCCTCCGGGGTTTTGACCAGGTATTGCTTTCTCAGCAACAGTCTGCATATTCTGGACATGAAGTTGGTAATGTCAGTCATGTTTAAAGGTAAATATTCTCTTTTGGTTTATGCAGCAAATGGCCGGTCTCGTGACAGACTACATGGAAGCCTATGGGACCAGGTTTGCATGGAAGTGTGTCCCAACGAGAGTGGACAAGCTCTCCTCAGGAGCCCTGCAAGTGACCTGGACCAACACCCAGACAGGCGACGAACACAAGGACACGTACGACTCTTTGTTGTGGGCAGTTGGTGAGTTTGTGTGTGTGACTTCTTGGGGTAATTTCAAAAAAGGGAACAGCATCTCTGAAATGGTAGAAGCTTGTTGTGTTGCTTAGTGAAACTTGTGTTGAGATGCTTAAACTGTACACTTAAGACGACGATGCACATCAGATGGCAGCTCAAGAATTGACCTTTACTCTAAGTCTTGACTTGTTCTGTACTTAAAAACATTTAACTATCACAGTCCAGAACCAATGAAAAAATGAGAACGAGTCAGGCATTTCTTGCACAACCTCCAACCTTTAATATGACACTATTAACCCTCTAAACCCCAAAACCTGCCAATGGATTTAAAAGACATGTCTCCCTTAAAAATAATCACTAAAGTTACACTACCTATTACAGCCCAAAAAAACTGTCTGATTTTAACTCTGCAGCAGCCCATGAAATAATCATTTGTGGCAGTTACGTTGAGAAAATTCTACAATTCAAAGAACAAAATCATGCTAGTTCATCAACATTGCTTTTTTTTTTTTAACATGGCTGATTATTAGGGCTGGACCCGAATAGCCGACTATTCGTTCGCTGTGCTAGAATCGGGATATCAATTATAATTTCCGAATATTCCCCCTCCCCCCAGCAGAACGCATACTCGCCCGCCACCACCGCGCGGCACCCCCAAATATTCGAGATATTTGTCATTAATTGGGCCGAATATCCGGAGAACAGAAATTGCTATTCGGACCAGCCCTACTGATTCTAAAGAATTACCAAAAACAAGCTGTTTGCAGTCAACGGATCCTGTAAACACAAAATATTCTGCTCTCTTCATTGCAACTGAGAAGCCATGAGCAACCTATCTAGGACTAGAAGTCCCATCCATTATCTATACACCACTTAATCCTCACGAGGGTCGCGGGGGCTGGAGCCTATCCCAGCTGACTTAAGGCGAAGGCAGGGGACACCCTGGACAGGTCACCAGTCTATCACAGGGCTACACTTAGAGACAGACAAACAAGCACACTCACATTCACACCTACAGACAATTTAGAATCACCAATTAACCTCAACATGTTTTTGGACTGTGTGGGAGGAAGCCGGAGAACCCGGAGAGAAAACACGCTGCACAGGGAGAACATGCAAACTCCATGCAGAAAGATTCCAGGCTGCGAACCGGTGACCTTCCTGCTGCGAGGCAATGGTGCTAACCACCGCTCCACCGGACTAGAAGTCACAGAATAAAAAATTCAGGAACTTTGCGGCTGAACTGCAGACTGTAGATAGGAGCCAAGCATGGAAACATATAAGAGGTACTGAGAGCAAAATATAACAAACTTGATCATTAGAATACATGCTGCATGGCACATAAATAACACGCAGAGAAGCAAGTTGTTGGAAGATGCATTCAGCATGGGTGCATATCTGGTGTGAAAAAGCTTTTAGTTTATAGAGGGCGTAAAATATGGATGTGCGACTTAATGTGGTCCCCACTGACTCAACACTTGGACTTTTTTCAATTGATGTAAGACCGTAGGACTTCCCCTAAAAGAATTAAGAGCTCAGCCATGCCAAACCTGACTTATTTAGTTGGGTACATTAGAATTATGAAGCTACCTTGCCACAACAAGTCTTTTTTTTTTGAAAACCAGATATTAAATTCCTGAATGGCATGGCAGTAATTAACTCCTTATCCCCTATTGTTACTACTTTTGCAGGGATTACGCGTAATACACCACCCATATTGTTTCCCTCTGATGTAGATATATATCCCTGAACTAAAACACTGGTGTGACTGTGTAATCTCTGCCACCGATTTCATTTTCATCCTAAATAGAGTGCAAAGTCAGCAGATAGTAGAAGAATCAAGGCTGAAAACAAAGTAATAAAGCGTGAGTGATGGGAATGGCCGGGGGAAGTGTTAATCGCCTACCGCTGGCTCTCTGGTTCTCTGGTTGGAGAAGGGCAGGACGGGGCAGGATGCACCCAGGCACAGGGTCACCACGTTCCCCTCTTTGTTCTCTCTCTCCGAGCCTTCCTGCCCATGCCAGTCCTGCGGAAACCAACCATGCATCTGTCACTGCCATCCCTGCCCGCGGCCCTCTGTTCTGCCATTACTAGCATCCCTCCTCCTCCTCTTTCTCAGCTATTCATTATCTCTGCTATCATTTCACTTCTCTCGTTCCACCAGCACAACGAGTAACAATGGAAGGAACATCCGTCAGGGCCGCAACCGTCGGTTTATTTGTTCTGAACGCTTTCAAAGGCAACACTTTGCTTCCGAAAATCTGACTAAAAGGTTTTTGCTGTATTTTGGAGTGTGTGTGTGCGTGAGGGAAAGAGGGTCCCTTTGTTCAGTGCGTGTGACAGCGATGAGGATGTGTGTGACCCTGCAGCTGAGATGACGTTTGTTCTTCCCTCCCGTGACTGAATTCCCACGTCGCCTCAGCAAGAGACTGCTGGTGAGAATGATATTTGCATTGAGTGTATGCATCAGGAGATGTTTTGACAAGTGTTTGGTGACGCGTCCCTCGTATTTCCGATATTCATTAGAGTGAGATATCAAACTTTTGACATTTCGGGACTCAGCAAAAGCATTTATACTGTTTTGCTCCCAATTCACAGTGCACTACACTGTACTGCAGTTTGTTTTTAGTTTCTTTCACATTACATTTTGCATAATCTACTTCAAAATCTTAAATGGCACAGCTTTAAATTCCTTCATTTTATATCAAAGTAGTTTAGAGGGCTTCCAGAAGTTGTCAAATTACAATGGCAAAAATAAGAGTTTCATCTTTGTTAGCACAACAAGCTAGAACCTTGAGAGTCCTGCATGTGTATCAGTGACAGCTTTTGTTCCCATACAGTTTAGTGAGAACCAGTACCGACGTGGCCTCTGCTCTTTGATGTGTGGATGCAGGAGTTATGAGTACAAGGCCACTTCCCTTTACTGTGACCTTACACTAGAGGCCAGGCGGGGTCCCAGGTCTCTGTGGAGTTATTAAAGGCCAGAGGGGAGCGGGGGACAGTCTCACCACTCGACCACATCCTTCTCCATGGCCCTGCCTCCCTCCACCTTTCCCCTGCTCCTTCCTGACCTCACGGCCGCTCCCCTGTCCAGGTGTGGCGAAAGAAACACACCAGGAAACAGAACATTTCCACGTTTCCTGTCTATGTACAGACAGTGGATACATTAGTCTTCCTCCTCACTGCCCTCTACAGTGCTCAAGGATGTCATTTAACAACATTTCCTAGTTGTTGTTTTTTTTTGCCTGTCTCAGTTTTACAAGATACCAATGACATCCGTGAGTGTTGCTCGTCTTTGTCTCTGTCTGTCTGCGTTACTCTGTGGTGGGCGGTGCAGTTAGAAAACAGTACTTGATGGCCCAGAAATACAAATTACTGCACATCTCTCAATATCAGCTCCAAAATAAAGAACTAATGTTAACTTTGAAGATCAAATACTAACTGAAAAACACTATACAACACTATTAAATGAAGGTGTATCTTTGAGTTTAAGTGTTTCTGTTATTATGCCAAGTGTGTTGCATAGAACGCATAGTGCATTTTGTGTACAGCTACGTATTTACTGTCTGAGTCTGTGTTTAGGATGAGTCTTATAGGGGAGAAAGCTTGTATTTGAATCTGAAAAATGTTTTGAACAGTAAATATTAATAACTATAAAGTGTGAAATAGAGAAACAACAAGAAAAAGAAATATTAAAGAGCCCATGTTATTTTTGTTTTTTTTGCGGAGTGGGGGGTGGAGTTTGGGTTAGTTGTTCAAACCTACAAAGCTGAAAGTCCAAACTACAGGCACTTATTTTATCGCACGAAAACACAAAACAGATGGAACAGAATGCGGAAAAAACACACACAAAAAAGTAACAAAACAAACAAAAAAGTAACAGGACACTTGCACCATCTACATATATCTAGTTTTGCACACCATCAAATAATACACAGCTGCCTCATAGTCCACCATTATTTTCTCACCATGGCTGCTTCTGCTACATTTTGCTATCCAGTCAAGTTCTTTTGTGTGGCCCTCTCTGCAGATGTCCATGAGTAGCCCAAAATTTGTGATCGTGCAGACTGTCCACGCTGCCAGTGTGCCGACTGCACGTGCCAGGAAAACAAACGGCTCTTAAAGCTGATGCCTGTTACAAGGAGAGGCCATCCACTGAGATTCTTGATCATCCAAACCTTTATAATTGATAATTACAAGAGTTGTAATTTAAGTAGTCACTGCCAAACTTTGGAGCTGCTTTGATACATATGTGTTTTCCATCAACGGTGCCCAAACACAGTAGAAACTCTAAATTCTCCAGAAGTCCTGTGCTGTGTCCGCTCACCGTGCTCAAGAAACGTCAGGAATAATTAGATTGACACGACGCAGAGGGTGAGAAGAGGCGTTGCAGCAATATACAGTATGAGACAAATGTTTTTTAACATTAAAGCATGTACACATATTTTAGTAGACCCCCTAAAAAATTTGATATGCAGACATGAAGATGCACATGTGCATAATATCAGGTCTTCTAAAACTCAGATAGCCTGCTTTATCAGGAATGTGCCAGTGTGATTTGTTCAGATTTGACTCAAAGTGCTGGCAGCAAAAGCCAACAGCCCCACAATTGTCATCACATTTCAATTAAAATGTTGCGAAAGTAGGATTAGTACAAAGAAGTACATGACATCACCTTTTAACAACAGATCCTCACCTACTTTGAGCCAGGGAAAAAAGCACAGACAAACTTTGACAGAACATTGTGTGTGTGTGTGCGTGTGGGTGGGTGTGGGTGTGGGTGTGCGTGTGTGTGGGGGTGTGGGTGTGCGTGTGGGTGTGTGTGTGTGTGTGTGAGATCCAGCCACTCACAGTAAAAAGCTCATTGGGAAAACAAGTTCTGAATAGGATGACGTACAGTACTGTGATAAATGAACAGTATGCTGAGGGCAGAAGTAACAAGTAACAAGTGATGGTAGTGATGTTTTAGTTTAAGTTTGGGTTACATCACATTTTTAATAGGCAAATTTGTGATACTGAAACACACCAGATTGTCACACACTAAGTTTTCAAGACGTTTTCCACTCCCTCAACAAGTATTATGACTCATAGAAGCTACAAGTTTGTTTTACAAGCTTTTTATCAATTTGTATCTTAAAATCTTTTTTGGCTTGAAATGAAACACATTATCAGTTTTTGGCATTCTGTATGATCTATTCCCCCAAGAATAATAATCTCCTGTCGCATTGCTCTCCCTTTTGTCTTTGTTCATTTGATTGATCAGATAAGTGTTCAGCTCTCATTTCAACTCATGGAGGTTTGTTGTGGCTAATTAGCCTAGCAGTCTTGAGGCTTCCTCTTAATGTCACAACATGCTTTGTTCTCATTGGCCTACTCATTGAATCACTGTGGCCCAGCTCTAACCGAGTCCCTTATCAGCTGTTGTTGTGTCCTCGCTGTACAATGGAGCCGACTGCTCAGTCCTGCAGTACAGGAAGGCCTGATATGTTAGAAGAAAGTCTATACTTACCACCCAGATTCTGTCAATGTGGGTTTTTGTAAGCTTATACTGGTATTTTTGGAGTAATTAATGATGTAATTCAATATTTTCAACGTAGACTATAACAAATTCTCAGCATCAAAGCTGTAGAAATGCATTTGTGTCAGAGTGGTACAGCCTTGAATCAGGATGTAGACCGTTATGAGATGCACTTGAATTCAACATGAAGCTAGACTATACCAACTGAATCTGCACCACGTCATCTTAACCCATCCGGTTTAGCATTTATAAGTAGTGTGCAGCATAAACTAAATGGTCTATCGTAGGCGATCACTTCATCTTATAAACTGTTTATACACATGATTAAAAGATATTAAAAATTCATAAGAACTTCACTGTAGAACACAGCTACAGTGTTTAATTCTTGAACTCATAAAATGCTTTGAAAGAGCTTAAGGCCCACTTTTTTGTTCTGTCACTAACATCTCATTACCTTCAACACCAGCTAGTTTACTCAGCTACCATAAATATATATTTATTTATGAAGAGAATGCAAATAATGTAGTTAACAATGGATTCAGTCAAGGCATTTTGTGGGATAATACATTAATGCATTAAGTCCTAACAATAAACACATGAAAATACAGACATGAAAGTCCATTATAAGTTGTCACAAACCATTTATATTGTTTATAAAGGCATACATGCTAATTACTGCCAGATATATTGCTACTGATAAGTGAAGAAATATATGTATAAATAATGAATAGGAAATAGCAAATTTTCATTCATTGTAAAAGCATACTTATTTTAACATTTACTACAAATGACTTGTATTGCAAGGTTTGGGTCTTACAAGACAGGAAAGTATTTAGAAGTCCTGCTTTGGGGAATTGGTAATGACTGCCTGACTTCCCCTTTCTCCTCCTTCTCTGGGCTTTCTGTCCCGTTCAGCCACACATGCTGTGGAGCACCAGACCAGTCCCTGTAGCCCCCCTGCTCTGAGAACAGGGGGGATAGGACGTTGTTCTTCGACTCCAGCCAGGAAAAAGGGTCTCGGGGGTTTGTTATTTTTGCTGTCCGATAGCATCTACATGGGTATCTCAGGGCCGGGTGTTTATTATGCTACCCAGGGAGGTTGCGAGGAGCTATGTTGAGGACGGGGGAGCGCGTGGTCCATGCTCCATCACCATGGAGACTCTGTGTCGACAGCATCATTCAGCCATTCCCCAGGAAGTGTCAAAAGTTGCACCTCGTGATGTCCCGTGGGATCGATGGGATCCTCGTTCCAAACTACTCGTCAGTTTCTGCTCTCTTTCGAGCTCTCAGCTGACCAGATGTTGTTGTTTCATAACTTCTAGGGTTCTAAATGAGAGGTTCACTTGTATTTTAAAGCAACCAGTGATGCTGCTGTTGTAAATTTTGAGCTTTTAATTGTTGTCCAGTCAACACCCAAACACATTCAGTTTAAATGATATTAAACAGGAATAAAGCAGCAAATTCTCATATTTAATATGCTGGTACTAGCAGATGTTCAGATTTTTTTTAAGCTTGGCTTAAGCACAGTCAGTTGGTCTGTCAGTCTATAGTTCAGACTAAAATACATCTGCAATTATTGGATGTGTCTTCTGTTAAAGTTTGCTACAGATGTTCAAGGTCCCAGTTGAGAAATTTCCATGTCTTTAGTGTTCAACTGCTTTTGTGCTGCCAGTTGCTGAAATAAGTTGACCATCTATTTGATGAATTGGCCTAAAATTTTGTACAATCATGCCTCCACAAAAATAAAACTGACAGAAAAGGCATCCCAAGTGGATAAAAATAAACTGTCAGAAAAGCGACAGTGTCCTCGGGCAGTATCGGTGCTGCCTGAGGAAGTGCCAAGTTTGAAATGCTTTAAAATCCAGAGCAGCTGCTGATACAAGCACTCTGCAGGCCATTTAGTGCCCATAGTCACATATTAATCACATAAAGTCTATCATGTTTTTGCATCTTACAGCTCCCTCCCTTTTATTCTGGGTACATTTTAGGTTCCTGTATGATTCATTTTAAAAACATCATCCAGTCAAAATTGTAATTTGCCCAGTACTCAGGTGAATGAGCAGGAAAAAAATGATTGACGTTTCTGTTTTTTTCAGTTTTGTGCTTTGTGCTAATGTTGGCATTCTAAGAAGAAGCTAAACTTAGACGGTGACCACATGCTGATGTTAACATTTAGCTCAAAGCATCAAAAACACATTCACAGAGCTGATAGCATGACACTCAAAGACTTGTGGTTTAATAAATTACTTACATAGAGGTAATTATTTTTATTCTGATTGTCAGAATTAATGTTTTGTAAATTTACTAGTAGATTCAACAAATAGAATAGAATGCTTTTTATTGTCATCATGCATAAGGTACAACGAAATTAAAATATTTGCTTATAGATTTTTATTTAGTCTGGATAGCTTTTAACTTTTGATAACTCTTGTAATCGGATGAGTTTTGCTATTTTGGCTGAGCCATTGTGGGACATAAAACCTGAGCAGAATGTATTCTTCTCCTCCACAACTCTTATCAGAATAGTCTTGTAATGCTGCCCCTCTGTTGTTTTCTCCTTTTGACTTCAGGTAGAGCTCCTGAAACCAAAGCCCTGGGCCTCAATGAGCTTGGCGTGCAACTCAACAAGGAGACTGGGAAAATAGTTGTAGGCGCGGACGAATCTACCTCGGTGCCAAACATTTATGCTTTCGGTGACATCAGCGAGGTAGGCATTGTCAACAGATGCCACAGTGACAGCAGAAACAGCCCTGATAAGAGTCACAAGTGGAAAAACACGCTACGTAAATATTGGTCTTAAATTAGGCTGTAAAAATCAGCACTATGCCAAAGTTGTTGGAAGTCCACACCCTTCCCAGGAACTGTAAATGTTTGTCATAGTTTGACGAGGTGGCTCAGTGAAATGTCAACAGTAAAAAACATGAACGCATCATAACTCTGAAAATCAATTCAGTCTTGTCATATTCACATCGTTACTTAATTGGAATACATTTTAGTTGATCGTGGCAAATTAAAGGAAATACAAGAAGTGTCTTAGTGAGATGTTTGAACAGCAGAACAGCTCCAGTGTACAGATTCTCCAAGTCTCTCAACTGGAGAGACGAACACAGTTCTTCCAAAAGATGTTTCCCTCATTTGGCACAATCTAACATGTCGATCCAAAATCTCCCACAGTTGTTAAACTGGGTGGAGATTTGGTGACTGTGAAGCATATGATTCACATCATTTTCAAATTCATCAAAGCAGTCAGTGACCCCAGTCAGTGTGTGGTCATCCTGGAAGAGACCATTCCCATCAGGATAGAAATGTTGCATCATAGGATGAAGGTGATAACTCGGGATCACTCAAGTTTCCTTTATTTTAACTCCGGTTTGTGAGTCTGTACAGTATGAGCTTGTAGTAGCCAAAACAGCACGAATTTTTATTACAAAGGTTTGCAAAATTATAAACAAAAACAGTAAAACCACAGACATGGATAGTCTAAAATTCAGTGTTCAGCCATTCTTCATACCATTTTATCAGTTATTATCAGATTTTTTTGATCAGTGCAGCAAAAGACTTGACTATGGTGGTACAGCAGTTATTCTATTTTATGGTCCAATGCTTGAACCTTCAAGAGCATCTCAGATTTTGTCTTTTTTTTCCCCATTTAAAACCAACTTTTTGTTCACCTTTGCTTCGTCCCACTACATGAACAACCTTCCTTTTCAAACTTGCAAAATTGTGTTATGGTCCATTTTTGTCAGTCGCTCCTCCATTTGTAATCATAGATATCTCAACTGTTAAATACATCTGGACAAATGCATCTCCTCCTGCTATATATATACATGACCACCAGTTTTTACATGTAATAATATGAGTATGATGATTACAACAAATGGCAGCAGGCAGCAGTTTAACATACAAAATGAAGTCCTTTATAATTTCCTTAGACTTACAATCTGGAAAAAGATATTAATGTAAAATATGCAGACACAGATAGTAGCTTTGCTCTGTATCTAAAGTAGGTGAGTAACTCCTGAGTCAGAAACTGTGCCAGTCTACAGCTAATAATCAACAATAATAAACAACCAGCAACATGTAAAACAATGAGATGTTCCCTTAAAGTTAGAGACAGGGATTCTAACCCAATGCAGTCTTTCTTAAATTCACTGAACACCTCCTCATTGTCCAGTTGCTCCATTCTGTGTGTGTGCTGAATTTTTTTTGTGTGTTTGTGCAAAGTCCTGCATGTGTTGTGCACGTTCATGCTCAAGAATAAAGATACGGCAGAGGGAGATTGTTGGAAAGGGGCAGTGGGAGTGAGATGGTAAATCTGGCACATGCTGAATATTTAAATATGCAAGCTATCTAAATATCAACAGTCTTTTACAGGAACACTGACTCCAGCTTTAAATTTGTTTCCAGCCATAGTCCTTGCAATCAGTCTGCGATTGAAACGATATACATAGACCCATGCTGCAGATGAAAGAAACTAAAAGTATGTCTAATATATGGAGTAGCTAAAAGTCATCTTAAAAGTAAGTCTTGTTTTTTTTGTGAACAAGTACACAACTTTTTTTCCACAAGTAACAACTTGACTGAAGACGGAATATTAAGCTGCACTAACCTGCCTCAGTATATATTTACTGGAATTGGCAAGTGTGTGTTCCAAGCTGAACCAACCATGTTAATACTAGTTAGACCTGCTGCATGTAATGTCAGTGTTGTTTTTTTTTTCACCACGACCAGCTGTGTGCTTCCTTCCTGCCTCCCAGGCTTCATGACACACACATACTCGCAGAGCGTCTTTTTGATCGACAGCTCGCTTTGATGAGTCGTGCTTCACCCCAATCTGTCTGTCAGCTTTTCACAGCAGCAGAGAGGTTTTTTTTCCCCCTTTTATTTAAAAGCAGGAGGGTTGATATCCTTCTCAATTTGTCTGCTGTTTTGTTGTTTCTTTTTTTTTTTTTTCTTCATCTCAGAAGAGAGTGCCAAGAAATGCATTATAATGACACATGCTGTCCGGTGTACAAGCAGTTACTGGAATACCAGAGCGCACAGCCACATACATGCAGAGGTGCAGGAGATGTTTTTGGACAACAGGATGTGTGGTGGTGATTTAACAGGTTTAAGTCATGCCTTCAGAATTGCCCTGCAGCCCTACTGTTTCCTGCACAGCTCAGTTAGCTCCATGTTTGTCTGTTTTGGCAGACGTCCAAAACAATAAAGGCAAAAACACAGAAGCAGATTTTTATTTTTTTTTAGTGAGCTGGGCGGTTTAAGTGTTTAACACTTGTCGCATTTGTCTGTCACTGACTCACGGTCCAATTCGTCTGTGTTTGTAGTAGAGTGTTTCTGTGGAGTATTAATGTGTGTTGTCAGTAAATGTTGGAAAGAAAATAGACCAACAAAGAAATGATTTAACTTTGAAACGTTTTTTTTTTTTTATACTTCCAGTTGCAGTCAACATGATTCAATGAGAATTTGTTTACACGTGTGTTTTCTGATGATCTATGAGTTCTAGAAATTATATTTGTATGAGTTGAAAGACATGATTTTAATCAAGCTGACATTGCACGTGTATCCAAATCTTTCCAAATTGCAGGACTTTCTTGTATTACAGATGTGTTATAATTCTTAAACCCCCATTTAATCATTTTTAGAATGATTTACTTGTATGTGAAGCTACCACATTGTTGCAAAATTACACTTTCAGGAATTCTAACTTTAACTTCACTGGATTCACTGTGCTAAAGATATAAACCCTGCCGATGCAGGTGATCCAGCAGAGTAGCAAACATAACAAAGATAAAGGAGCTTTCTCAAAAGGCAAGAGAATATTTTATTACACCAGCAAGACAAGGGTTTAAAAAAAGACACTTCAGGTTCCAAGAGATGTGGTTGGCAGCATCATAGGAGAGTTTACAACTCATGGTACAGAAGCAAAACTTTTTGGACGTGGAAGAAATAACAACATTTCTTGCAAGGGAATCACAAAGCTATTGCTGCGACAAACCTCTTGTTTTACTGCCAGAGATTTGCAGGAGAACCTGATGAAGGCAGGAATAGAAGTATCTGTACAGACTACAAGAACACTGAGCAAGCAAGAAATTTATGTCCTGACACTTCACCACACTCTGTTCTTGGTGCAGGTGAGAGTGTGGAGTTTTGTGAGTCAGGTTTATAGAGACTAACGTGGGACTGTTTGTCCAAGCAGTCAAACATGGAGGTGGAGACGCCACATTACTGGTGTGACTTGCTGTTGCAGTTACGGCTAAACTTAACCTTGCAACTGGCATCATGGTTTCTTTAGAATACCAGATTGTCTTGAAGAAGAATGCAGTACTTTCAATGTGTAAATTGAGGCTTGGTAATAAATGAACTTTCTTGGAAGACGGTAATCTCAAGCATACAATTGAATTTCCCTTCTGGGATAAATAAAGTATTTTTCATTTCATTTCATACATCCAGGTCAACCAAAGCTCGGTTAAGGAATGATTCCTGGAATGTCTCTGATTTGACCACAGGCCACAATTTTTGTGATACATTGACGTCACTAGAATGTGACGAAGGGGATGAATATTTTTGATTTTGAATGTGTGACAGGTACAAATCTACTGAAGTAAATTCTAATTTGTGTTGTTTCAGGGTCGTCCTGAATTGACCCCAACAGCCATCAAAGCTGGAAAGCTCCTCGCCCGCAGACTGGCTGGTCAGAGCACTGAACTCATGGACTATGACAGCGTAAGACACGCACACACACACACACACACAATGAGGCTGATAAATTTCATCCATCTTTCCAAAACCTTGTGGCTTGTTGTTCCTATTGTTTTGTGCCTCATTTGAGAAAAAAATATTACCATTTTGCTGTTTTGTGGTTGGAGTGTCTTACGCACCTCCCCGCCTCAATCATACTGCACTCCCTGCTTCTCTTGAGGACATCTCCTTACGTAATACACCAGCATTTTCCAAAATATCGTCATCCTTCATCATCCTACATGCACTCATTCATCTTTCAACAAGTTCTTATAAAGGTTTTATAATAATTATCTGGGTTTTCATCCTGCAGGAGACCAATACACTGATATTTATTGGATACAAGTTTCGTACCATATAACTCAGTTGAAATGTGTCATTATTTCTATGAGTTTTTTTGTTTGTTTGTTTTTTTTAGAAATTTCAGACCAAAATAAGGTCCAGAACAGGATGGAAACTTAAGTGGATGCATTTGTTAATTCTGTGTGTGCTTGTGTGTGACAGGTGCCCACCACAGTGTTCACTCCTCTCGAGTACGGCTGTGTAGGTCTGTCTGAGGAGGAGGCTGAGAAGAGGCACGGAAAAGACAGCATAGAGGTGACATTAGTTGCTGTAATTCAGCTTAAGGCAGTAGATGCTGTGAAAATATTGCCAGAATGGGATTGTAGTATTTTGAGTTATAAGCCCTTCATATGTCCATGGCTGTCTGTCTCTCTGTGTTAGCCCTGTGATGTACTGTCAGCCTATCCAGTGTGTGCTGGGCCCAGAGTCAGCTGTGATAGGCTCCATCCCCCCATGACCCTCCACAGGATAAAGTGGATATAGATCTAGACAAAAAAATTAATGGATGGACGTCCACCTTTAAGGGAGAACACAATAGAAAATAAGGACTTTTTTTAATATAGTTTTCTCATAGTGGCATATTTAAATGTGAACACGAATTTATTTCAGCTTTTAACACTAGAAAATATAATGGTAAATGCACAGTATATCTGGTTAACTTTTCAAATTTGAACTACAAAAGTCTGTGCGTTAGTGTTTAAATTATTCCTACAGAAGCTGTCCTCTGCTGGGTGCTTTAACCTAATGAGCAGCAGCAGTATGATAAAAGAGGAGGCCTTAGTTAGACCTGAGCCTTGTCAGTAAACTATAGTATTTGGGTGAAAAAATAACTTTAAATTTGAAATACAAAGTCATTTACAATCAAATTTTTTGGTTTGTGGAAGTCAGTGATTAAACCCTTAATGCCATTTTATAGAACTGTGCTTTTAATCCAGAGATTGCACATTCTGTTTAATACAGTAGCAAACTAGTGCAGCACTAACTCACAGTTGTTACTATAACTTTGATATGTACCTTCTGTATCAGTAGCATATGAGTAGCTATAGGCCACACGTGTGCAAACAGAGTATCAGAGGCAGTATTAAAGGCTTGTCACTGCCATCAACCTACATAGAAAGCACAATGTCCTGTAACACCTAGACAAACACTGACACACACACATACAATGCAATAGCAAGCGGCTCTGTATTTTACCTGTTTGCGTACGTGCATGATGTGCCAGATTACCAACCAACACCTGCACATCACCATCGATAAACGGTTTCGCTGACGAGCTGAAGCTCCTGGCTGTGAGTGACGGGCGAGCAGGAGGCCTGATTGAGGTGTGTATGGGGTGATGACAGGCGCGCTGAGATCTGACGAGGAGCTGCAGCGGCGGCCCCCCGACAGCTGCATGGCCCTCACAACTTGTGTCGGCACGTTTGCCCGTAGAATAAAACACACGACGACACGTACGTCTCAGTAAGGATTGAGAAAACCACTCAGCATCACAAGCAGACACTGAGGTCGCCGTGCAGCTTTTAGGCAGATTGTAAGTCTGCACATGAATCAGTAATAACAAGGCTTTATGTTGCATTTTAATTAATTAAAACACAAATTATAGTTTAGAAGAATTGGGGCTATGACCTGATTTATTCTTATTCTGTTGCATAAATGAAACTGTATATTTAATTTGTTTGTAGTGCTTTACAGTGCTTTACTTTAAGTGTTACCAGTTAACATTTTCATAAATCACTTCTCTCAGATTTATTTCTGTTGCACTGTTAAAAGCAAATTTTTGTTTACATCATTTTTACTGTGAATGTGAATGCATCACTGACAAAATGTACACAAGAAGAGATCATCATCATCACTGCTGGAAATTCCCTCAGTGCTTTTATTTGCACATCAGTAAGCTCCGCTGGTTAAAGCAAAGATCCACAAGGGGGTCTTTTAAAACTGAAGTCCTGATTGGCTGTAGGCACAATGTGAAAAATGAAACAGTAATCCACGTTCTATTATTTGTCCTGTTTACACGATGTGTCCTCTGTGTTTGTGTCCGTGTAGATCTACCATGCTTTCTACAAGCCACTAGAATTCACCGTCGCAGAGCGTGATGCCAGCCAGTGTTACATAAAGGTAGGGTGGAACTTAGCATCTTTTAGAGTTTTTTTCTTTTCATTTAAATGCCATAAAATACCTTTTATGTGAGCTGCATTCATTTGTGAATACTCTTCAGCCAACAGTGTTGCCTCTCCACCTGTAGAAAGTCATTTGGATTAGACTGTTACATGAAGGACATTCTGTGCTTTCCCTACTCTACCAACCAACAAGACTAAAAAGTATATCTAAAAATGGTTTGAAAATATATTACATCAAGGCAAAACAGAGGAGAAAGCAGGATGCAGTAAAGTAAGTGTAGCAAACACCTTTTTGGCTTCAGCTTATGTTGTGTTTTTTGTTTTGTTTTGTTTTCTTTGCCTCTTCAGGTGATATGTGAGCGGGGTGGCAATCAGAAGATCCTGGGTCTGCACTTTACCGGTCCAAATGCTGGAGAAGTCACACAGGGCTTTGCTATGGGCTTCCAGTGAGTTTGTTGTCTTTTTAAAAGCTAGTTTTTGCCTTAATTACCAGGGCAACTGAACAGACATTGGGAATGCCATGAGCTACAGGGGCATCTGAGCTTCCAGATAAATTCTGAATCATATTTACATGTTTCTGTTTTATTTGCGTCAAATAGAACAACCATCCAAGTAACTTTGTTGTTAAGCTGATGTATTTTAACTCTCTCAAAGTCCCCAACCTGTGGGGAGTGTAACACTTCTGTAGGATCTGGATGTGCTCATTTTTCCACACTCAATACTAATGCGCTCAGTGAGCTTTTTCAAACAAAATCTTCAGCCTATTACCTAATAAGTAATGTGTGATTTGGAAAAACACTGTTTTACCATCATGTGCTCCTCAGTAGGCTTAGCTTTAGTTTAAATGATAATTTTAATGAGATAAACTTCATATAATGGGGCCACAGGAATAATCAAAGCTGCTGTGAGTAAAAAGCAACATTTCTTGTTTGTGTGTCTCAGGTGCGGAGCGACATATTCTCACCTACTGCAGACAGTAGGAATCCACCCAACCTGTGCCGAGGAGGTGGTCAAGGTCAGCATCACAAAGCGCTCTGGCTTGGACGCCACAGTCACCGGCTGCTGAGGTTAAGCTCCTCGGTCTCTGAACACACAGTGAGCACACAGGGTCCCTGGGTGACGGCAGAAAGAATTTAGTCTGGGGTTAACCTGCTTTTTCTCCTCGTTCCTCTCCACTTATATGGCCCTGGGCTGGATTTTTTTGCTCTCCTGCTGCGTGAAAAGGTCTCATCATAGACCGGTGATGCAGGTCATCACAGGCTGCCCAGGTTAATGTCACTGACATGTCGTGCGTTAACCAAAACCGCTGTTGTTCCATGTACGTACATGTAGTGCGTATGTTCATAATGCACAGAGCTACGGATCAGGTTAGTTAGAGCCCAGCCACAGAGTGAGCGTCTTTTAAATAAACAGGATCATCAATCAGGATTAGGGCCTGTGCTCGGGGTTTTGTTGAAACCGTAAGTGAAACGTAGACCGAGCCCGAACGTTCTTCTGAATATATATTCTGCAAATATTGTTGTTTCTCTGGCTGTACTTCCTGTCCATTAGTCTTGGAGGTGACACATACCATACACCCTCCCACCATGACACTGATGGATGGCCCCGGGGCCGTCGCCGCAGCGACACCGCTCCATTTCCCATGGACACACGCAAATAGTCGGCGGGGCGCCTGTCAGTCAGCCAGCAGAGAGCCACTGAGCTCCAGCTTGTTCTGGGCCCAGCAGACCCCTTTCCTTTTCCTCCCATACCCCTTTACCTCAACATGCATGGAAAGAATACAGCTCAGCTACTAATACGTGCTGTCAAAAGCTGTGTGGATGCCACATCCCAGACACATAGAACTCAATCTATCGATAAGACCGCTGCTAAAGCTCTGTTACAGCTGTGCTACTCAACCTCACCCAAAGGTGGCACTATTGCCCTCCAGTTCTCGTCTGTTTTGGGAGCCAAGAATGGAAGACAGGATAAAGTAGTCACTGGATAAAACATAAGCCTGAATACATTCAGGTTGCACATTTAATCCTTTTAATCCCTATAAAAGATATGTGCTTTTGGATGAAGCTGGAGAGCAGGCCTGCTTTATGGGTGCCAGACTGATAAGGGTTATCTGTTGTGTGTTTACATGGATGGCAGGGTAGCCCTCAACAGTCATCACCCTTGAAGATAAGGCCAGTTATTTATATCAATAAAGCAGTAATGGACCCCCACAGTATGCCAAAGTGCTCAAATGTTCAACCTGCTGCCTGTATTGGACATCTTGGGTTTATTAAGTAGATGAGGAGGGAGGAGGAGGGCTGTCAATAAAGAGGCTTGCTGCAGAAATCGAGGGACCGGAGAGGAGGCTGCTGGGTGTAGTTTATTTTTATTTGAAGTCTAATCTGCCCAGTCTGATTAATGATTCTGATGAGGGGAGTGACAGCGTGCCAGGAGATGGTAAGAGGAAAAAGAGAGAGAGAGAGCTACCAGGTTTATTTGGACCCAAGTTGGAGGAGAGAGAGCCGAGTTCCAGCCCCGGTTAGGGAGGGAAGGGGGATTCCTGTGTGCTCTGTTCAGGGCCGAGGTGCTGACTGAAGGACCCTGACCTCCGCTCAGCAGGAACAGCTTGACTCTATCACTCGGAGCACAGAGGGCTCACATGCTGCAGCGCTGCACGGCAGGGGCCTTGGGGGGGCTCTGGGTAGAGAGGGGCTGGTGGGGGTGGTGGTGGGGGTGGGACGGGCCAGGAGACGGACAGAACCATCCAACCAGCCAACCAACACAACAGCGAGTGGTGCCCGGGGTAATTGAGTCTGTGTTCCTGTGCTTAACAAGCCACTTCAGAGACCCCAGGGTGGGCCCAAGGCAGCGTGAGGGAAGTCATTGAGGCCATCAGTGTAACTGTAATGTCTGTTTGCTTTTTACCCTCCGCTTCCCTTCTGCTTTATCTCACGTTGCTCTCTTATTTTATACACAGTGCAGCTGCTCGCATGCACCAAATCAAATCAGTCAGTATTACATTTTTTTAGGAAATGTCTGTCAAACTTGAATGATTTTTGTTCACTGTTGATTCATCACCAACATTTCAGTTCACCTCAGCTGTGCTCCACGGGGGTCAGGGTTCAACTTTCAGGTCGGCCAGCTAATGATGACCTGCACTCAAACCCAGAACTGGGGAGTGCAGGCCTGATGTCACCTGGTCGTAAACTTTAGGAGTTGTAAATAGAGAAGTGTAATTTTCCATTAAAGCTTTGTTATGCATAATTTATATGTAAAGTAATGACACGTGTCACCATTAAAGTAATGATGTCCAACTGATTGAGTGTTCGGTGTTTTGCATTAATGACTGAATGATACTTACTTAGAGAACGTGACGAGAGGACAAAAGTCAAATCTTGCTTATTGGTACTGAAACAACAGCAGTCACATTGAAGCCGTGTCAACAAGGGGAAAACCTCAAAGGCATCTTTGACTCAGATCTTAGTTTTGAGCATCACAACAGAAATAGAACTAAAATGCATCTTATCATTTAAAGAACATCAGTAAAGTGAGGCTTTTTATCTCTCAAGGAAATAGAGAAACACTCCTGCACGCTTTTATTATCTGTGGGATTGGCTATTGTGTTGCTCTCTTATCTGTTCCCCCTAAGAAGAATATATCTCAACTGCAGTTGCTTCAAAACTCAGCAGCTCTTCTGTTGACTCAGACCAGAAGGAGAAGGGACATTATACCAACTTTAAAGTCTCTGCCCTGGCTACCTGTCTACTTTGGAATTGATTTTAGGATCATTTTATTGGTTTATAAAACTCCTAATAGTCTTGGTCCTTCTGATTTATTGGATTTGCTTTTATCCTGTGACGTTTCTAAAACCCTCCGGTCTTCTGGAAGTGGCCTTTTAATTAAACCAAAAGTCAAAACAAGAGCCCACAGTGAGGCAGCCTGTTGTTATTACGGTACATGTCTCTGGAACAGCAGCTGAGAGTGGTGATGTCTTTAAAGCTGCCTCTGGTGTTTCATTTCCAATTAATGAGATTTATTTATGATAGCTTGACCCAAGTTCCTTAGTGCCGTTTTTTATTAAGTCCTTCATTAATAACAATCAGCGATGGGGGGGATCGGGATATTGTTTATTTTTTTCCCTTTGGTTTTGTGAAGCACTTTGTGTTTTATTTGCATCTAAAGTGCTACAAAACAAAATCTGATTAGCTGATATACAAAGTGAAGTGTAAACCTTTAAATGAAAATATCAACGTTTTACCAAATGTTTGCCATCAACCAAACTTTTAATTACAAAATCAATACCACTCTAATATCTGTGCAGCACATTAAACCACTAGCTGGTGAGCAGTTAGCTTAGCTGAGAACCAAGACTAGAAGTTGGGAATCAGCTAGACTGGCTTTTTTTTTTTCTTTTTTTTTTTTAATGAATAAAAACTGGGTTACGTGCAGGACTCGATTTCTCAGGTAGAGCAGAGTTACTGACTGTGGTTGCCAGGCAACCAGCAGAGATGCAGGTGTGTAGCCAACCAAGAAATATAACAACCAGTAAAGCCACCATATGTCTTTTACCCTTCTTCTACAGATCTGTGAGCTGTAGAGGTGATGACATAGAGGTTTTTATGTATATTCATTATTTTGCCTTTAGACAGAGACACCCTGGCTGTGTCCCTGTTTCCAATCTTTTTTATTTTTTTATTTTTAACACATTGACATTTAGAGTTTTAAGTATTTTCCTGTAATTCAGCAACAAAGCAATTAAGTATATTTCTGAAAATGTTGAACAATTAATTTAATGAAAAAGAAACCCTATAGTTAACTTTTTTGTTGTTGTTGGACAAATTACATTTTCACATTGTAAATCCCCATAACACCTTAGAATGTAATAGTTTACGTAAAGTATAATATAACTTCATCAAAAACATCATAAAAAAAAATCATAAAATTACATCTACATGAGATTGAAAGTCACATAATGACATTTTATCACCCGGTGGAACAAGCATTTGCAATATGTATGCTTATGGTTAGTGTCTTGTTGTGGTATGTAGGTGAATATTTATGTTTACATCTTTCAAATAAAGTACATATTCAGTGTTATTGGATTGTGGTTGATTAAATGAGGCACTACTTTGTAGGAAATCCTTGGTACAGGAAGTAAAGAATAAGGTTTAGGAAATAGTCACCTGGAGGTGTCCAGTTCTGCTCTGAAGCTTATCTGAAGGGGTCTCCACTCTGTAGTCCACTCAGTAAGATCAGCAAGTTGTTGCATGTCTCTGAGTTTCTGCCCATATTCATGATGCAGGATGGTGCTCAAAGTCTGTAACTTGAACCGAGTAGTCATTGTTTGATTTAACACCAATGCATATAAAAGTCTGAAATCCATTAAGACCAAAATACAGAAATCTGTACTGAAAATGAATGTAGTATTGCACTATCTATGAAAAATATTTCATTGTCAAATTTGATTGAAAAAAAACCTGAAAGATATCACATCACTGGTAAAAGTGTTTTTACAGTGTCAAGACATTTTATTACATTATTGGTCAAGTTACTACATTAGCCGGTTTTATTATCTTTTTTTATCAAGTTAAGTGCAAATTTTATTACATTTTTAGTAGGGGTGCTTCCATAAACAAATCCAGTGAACCACTGATCATGTCGGGGTAAATATGCACCTCAGTGGCTCTGTTCAGGTTTATGAGATGGTATGCCACATGGCTCGCTCTTAATATTAAGCAGTGTCACAAGGAATGGTCACACTTTGACCCTGAGTTGTCTCTACTGACAGGCAGCTCTGCTATGCAGCGCTGTCACTCAACTCTCTGCACCAACAATGGCAGAAATTCCAGTGTGTTTGTTTGGTTAAGGACAGAGCTCTCTGAAACCCCTGAACCTCCTCAGGATCCACATCAGCCTCGCTCACCCTGAGAGTGAAGTTGGTGTCAGTCCTAACCCAGACAGTGGGAGTAAAGTTCACCCTCCGCCTCAAGAATAGTCAGACCCATTTAGCAATTGTGTCTCTTCTTTCGCTTCACAATGGAGCAAACAGGCTAAATCCACCTTGAAATGCACTTAGTAGAACATGTCAACATGTCAGGGTGCGCTCGGTCCTACGCTCCATCTTAATCCAGCTCCATTGAACACTGACAGTTGTCTGTGAGTCAGACATTCACGAGGCCTTTGTCACTTCAGGTCTTGAGCTCTAGCAGCCACGGTGCAGGAGCAGAACCCTCATGTTAAAACACACTTGCTGGGTATGCAGCCTCATAGCTGCGACATAAGCCTCAGGTGGAGGAGAAACCAATACATACCTTGTGTAAACATTCGCAAAAAAATGACGCTTGGAACAGAAAAGGCTCAACCTCAGCGAGGATTATCCATGAGAAATGAATAGGGGCCAATTATGACTGCTCTGTTGTACTGCCAGTATCTGGCTCAAGAGATGTCAGCATGAGTTGCCTGCAGGGCCCGGATGGAGAGCAGTGGCTTGGGAGGTTGGGGGCTCAGGAGGCTTGATGTTAAAAATAAAGGGGGCCTAAAACTGGTAAGATTGTGTAAGATTGTGGTGCTTCCTCCCTAATCCGGCCTCCCAAGTTCAAGACTATAACTCTGAAGCCAGAAACTGAGCCTAATGCAGGGCTCAAGGCTGCTGAGGTCGAATACTTTCACTGTCACTTGCTGCCCAAATTCACTCACCTCAGACTCCCTTTTCTTTGGTCAGGCTCATCAAAGCCAAAACACTTTGATCCCGACTCTGGACTGTGACCGAGGATGCAGTCTGAATCCTCCCGATCAGTAATGTCAAGGTTGTCCTGTGTGTTACACAGATCGTCAAGCTCAATATTCAAGTTTGTTACAAATGTTGCTTCTAGAAAGCTTCAGTCAGCAGCGTGCAACTGAGAAAAAGTGGATGAGGTCAGCTCTTGTCAGTGCGGGGGTCCTGTTTGGTAGCGTAGTAGAGGTGAGGGCCTGTGAAATGAGCTTATCAGACCCATGATAAGAACAGGATACCCTCAGGAATGGGCTAAATTCAATACACATGGCTGCTGCAGCGGCGGCCTTTATCTGAGGGGATGCGGGTGTTTGAAAAGGAGTGAGATGTAGCACTGTGGTTAGGTTTGTCCTCCAGACCACAATCTTACATAGGATACCAGTGCCCTGTGGCCAACAGTTAAAAGTGTGAGCTGCAATGTCGTAGTTTGCGGTCGGATCCTCAGACATCATTAAGAGAACAATTACGATCAGCAACCTCAGCTCCTAAATCATTTAGGCAGGTCTTTTGCCACACAGGAAGCCGTCTTATTACTTCTGGAAGCAGCATAAAGATTTATTGAGCTCATGTTTGGTGACGGCATACAACAAAGGGACAGTGTTTGTGTGTGTGTGTGTGTGTGCCAAACCGAGTCGACTTGGACCCTACCTGTCTGCATGCAAAAACAAATACAACACATAAACTGTAATGTTTGGATCTAAACAAGACACGTCTGGCACTCAGCATTTGGCTGTGATTGCATCTGTTACAATCTCTTAATCACTGTCTGTTTGTTCAACCACACTTTTCTCATCAGCACAGTTGACATGTAGATTAATTGCGTTGGTAATTTTATTGTTGTTCAGTGCTGCATTGCTTTAAAGTTATCATTAGTGTTGGAATGAAAGAGGATTTCAGGAGGACTTCATGGGAAAATCTTTAAATAAGCTAAGGATCTGAACCAGCTTCATAAAGGAAACCTGGTGTGATCACATCAAAAGTCAGACTCTGAAAGATGATCATTTTCAGCAAGCGTCTTCAGAGCAGTTGTCTATCCATCTCGTATTCTTAGCCATGAGATGCCCTTACAAAAGCAAAAAATGTTTTTGGTAGGAAAAGAAAAAAGAAATTACTTTTCCAGACAATGTTGCCACATGTTTGCCAGTATCGGCCACTAGAAGTGCTTCCAGCAACAGTCTGGTAATAATGAGCAGTTTGCCAGCGGTGCTAAATTCCTAGTAATCATCTGATAACAGCTCCTCATTAATGACAAACATGTCAGTTTATATTTGACGCAGATAGTATTTCTGAAAGTGTTCTATAATATATCAGGACTGATTTTTTAAAAAATATATATACTTGAACGGTGGCACAGTGTTGTACTGTTGTCTCACAACAAGACGGTTGTGGATTTGAATCTGCCCATCAGCTGTTCTCTCTGTGCCTGCATGGGTTCCCTTGTACCTGCCTCTGACCCAGTGTTTGCTGGTCTAGGCTCCTGCCCTCCACAGGATTTATATAAAGTTTCCACTGCAGACCTAATTTTGCATGTGAACATATGACCTTG